AGGCATGTAAAGGCCCCATAAGGAGTCCCTGGATGGTGCAAAAGGTTAACGCACTCAGCTACTAACAGGAAGTTGTAGGTTCTAGTCCACTCACCTTAACTCTAGGCAGTCAATTATCTCCTCTCTGTCACTATGAATTAGTTTTGCTTATTCTAGAATTTCATATAAAGAAAAGCATACATCATGTACTCTTTTGTACCTAGCTTCTTTTGTTCAACATCATTTTGGAATTCATCCATGTTTTCTGTTGGTTCGTTTGTCTGTAGTTCATTCCTTTTTTTAACTGAGTAGCATTCCATTGTATGGATATACCACAAGTGTCATTCATTCACCTATGGGCATTTGACTCTTTCAGATCATCTCTATTTCTTTCTACAATGGAGTAAGCCCTGCAAGTCAAAAAACATTTATTTGTAAATAATCTAAGTTTTTATAGGAAGCAAACAAAAAAATGACAAAATTCCATTTTTACATTCGTCTTCATTCATAATGAATTAGGGAAAATACAATCCACTCTCTTCTCACAGATACAGTTGTAGGTGTTAGAGCATCTGATATCTGTTATTCTTGTTGAGGTTAAAAATGCACAATTTCCTCTCCGAGAAGGTAAGCTCATTATTGTAAAATTACTGTAGAACAGAAAACATACACGGTCAACCATTTAATTCTGAAGCTTGCAACAACAGAAATTATGTATTTTTTTCTCTGTTGCCTAAAGATCTGCATTGTGGAAATATTCATTTTATGACTAAAAGATTTTATTTTGCTCATAGTCTATTAAATAGACTGATCGCTTCTTGATCTCACCCATTATCTCCCACTTTATTCTACACCAAGAATTTTTGGCTAGAAGGCAAAAATTACCTTGCAATATCTCGCTATGGGATTATAATATGCCAAACCTGCTTTTTTATGTTAACTTTTTAACGAAGATGAGAGATTAAAAGGAGGAAACACTGATCTTCTGTGACACGGGTAACTAGATCTCGTGTGCGATATACCTCAAGGAGAAAAATATAAATTTGGAATATAGACAGATATGAGGTTTATGGTTGTTTGTTTTTTGTTTTTTTTTTCTTTTCCTCCCTTCACCTCATAGGGCACAGATTTAACAGTTATTAGCTACCATATGACGGATCCATTGAAAAACATCTACAGCAGGACTTCTATTTCAGAAAAATGGTGGATTAGGTGCCAGAACTACCTTCCTATGCGAGAACAACTAAAAATGCTGAATGAAATGTTTTTAAAATTTTTCTTGAGTAAGAAGATTCATGAACTGACAAAAAATATATTCATACTCAGGCCGAGGGTTCAGTAAAGGAGATACAGGACAAAGTCCACTGTCATGGATTGAATTGTGTCCCCCAAAAATGTGTGTCAACTTGGCTAGGCCATGATTCCCAGTATTATATGATTGTCCACCATTTTATCAGCTGATGTGATTTTCCTTTGAGTTGTAAATCCTACCTCTATGATGTTAATGAAGTGGGGTTGGGGTAGTTATGTTAATGAGGCAGGACTCAATATACAAGATTAGGTTGTGTCT